GCCCTCCTCAATACCCATCACCAGGCTAACCCATCCTCCCACCCCCCTCCCCTCTAGAACCCTCAGTTTGTTTTTCAGAGTCCATCATCTCTCATGGTTCGTCTACCCCTCCGATTTCCCCCCTTTCATTCTTCCCCTCCTGCTATCTTCTTCTTTTTTTTTTTTCTTAACATATATTGCATTATTTGTTTCAGAGGTGCAGATCTGTGATTCAACAGTCTTGCACAATTCACAGCGCTTACTAGAGCACATACCCTCCCCAGTGTCTATCACCCAGTCACCCCATCCCTCCCACCCCACCCCCCACTCCAGCAACCCTCAGTTTGTTTCCTGCGATTAAGAATTCCTAATATCAGTGAGGTCATATGATACATGTCTTTCTCTGTCTGACTTATTTCGCTCAGCATAATACCCTCCAGTTCCATCCACATCATTGCAAATGGCAAGATCTCATTCCTTTTGAGGGCTGCATAATATTCCATTGTATATATACACCACATCTTCTTTATCCATTCATCTGTCGATGGACATCTTGGCTCTTTCCACAGTTTGGCTATTGTGGACATTGCTGCTATAAACATCGGGGTGCATGTACCCTTTCGGATCCCTACTTTTGTATCTTTGGGGTAAATACCCAGTAGTGCAATTGCTGGATCATATGGTAGCTCTATTTTCAACTTTTTGAAGAACCTCCATACTGTTTTCCAGAATGGCTGCACCAGCTTGCATTCCCACCAATAGTGTAGGAGGGTTCCTGAAAGGGTGATGAATTTTATTAAATACTTTTCTATATCAATTGAGATAATTATATGGTTTTTCTATTTTAACTCATTAAAATTATTTATTCTTAATATCATTATTTGTGTCTTCTCTCTTTTCTTCTTTTCTATTCTATGAGAAGTTTGTCATATTATTAGCTTTTTATTTTTTATTATTTTCATATTATTAGCATTTTAAAGACAAACTTTAGGACTTGTTGACCCTCCCTATCGAATCTTTGCTTTCTGGTTTTTTCATTTCTGCTTTCATATTTATTATTGCCTTTCTTCTGCCTTTTCTTAGGCTTTTTCTTTCTAAACCTCTCCAGTTGGTTACTTAGCTCATTCCTTCTCAGCCCTTCTTTTCTAAGTACTATATCCTTTCCTTCTAATTATTACTTTACTTTCAATCCACACAATCAGGTATGAAACATTTTCATTATCTTTAGGTTCTGGTTATTTTTAATTTTTACTGTTATTTTTTTATTGACTTTTAAGTTACCTAGAAACGTGTTTTAAAGCTTCCAAACACATGGAAACTGAATGTACTTTTTGTTACTGTCATCTGATTCGATGGCACTGTGGTAAAAAATGTAATCTGTATGTCAGCCATTCTTTGAAATTTTTGAGAGTTACTTCATGGCCCAGATGTAGTAATTTTTTTTTTTTTTTTGTAAATATTGCATGCATGCTTGGGAGGAATAGTTATCTTCTTTTTTTTTTTTTTAAAGATTTTATTTATTTATTTGAGAGAGAATGAGAGACAGAGAGCATGAGAGGGAGGAGGGTCAGAGGGAGAAGCAGACTCCCTGCCGAGCAGGGAGCCCGATGCGGGACTCGATCCCGGGACTCCAGGATCATGACCTGAGCCAAAGGCAGTCGCCCAACCAACTGAGCCACCCAGGTGCCCCAGAATAGTTATCTTCTAATTGTTGGGTGCAGAGTCCTATTTAAGTCCGACAGATCGATGTGGGTTTCAAATCTTCCTTATCTCTCATTTTTAAAAACCTTCTGTAATGATGGCGGATCTGACAGATTTCCTGACCCGCACTACAGGCACATGGGGTATGAATCTGTGAGCTCTGTGGCTGGTGCTGAGGTGCTGGGGGAAGAGAGGAGCTCCTGAGGTCAGATGGTGACCATGCTGGACAAGGGGCAGCCCCCTGTGGGTACCAGAGCTGTGGGCTCCTTCTCTTTGGATTGGCAGAGCAGGTTACCTCCAGATCACAGCAGAGTCCACAGCCTTCCCGCTCACAGGCTGGAGGCTGGGCTGGCTCCGCCTGGGTGTGAGCTAAGCAAGTAAACTGATTCCTTGATGCGGCCACCGCCACTGAGATCTTGAGCTGTGTCAGGCACAGGACTAGGCTTCAGCCCCTGCCTTCACAAGCTCCCAGCCGCTGTGGCAGGAGCAGACTCTGGTTAAGAAGCAGACATTGTAAAACGAAGAGGCGTTTGTTACAGGAGCCAGGGGGTGGGGCACCCATTCTGGCTGGGGGGCATCACACCACACAGAGGCCCCCCATCCCACCCAGGTGCATGGCCTAGGTGTCAGGTTATCTTTTCAGATTCTAGCTTATGGGACGATTTTGAGCGCCTGTATTCCCCTCTTCTCTACTCAGGTAGGGGGCAGACGCTGCCTTTTCCGGCCTCAGGAGGTTGTGGCAGGGTGAAAAGCAGAAGTTGCTGCAGGAACCTCCCTTCCTGGGTTTATATCTGAAAGATTGAGCCCTAGAAGAGGTTTCCAGAGGTATTTTAGAGCAGAAGTTACAAACCAGCTGTCTGGTTTGAGCTGCCCCATGTAAGAACATTTTAAAATTAGGTGCTGACATTTAAAAATGTGATTCCACAAAACATGAGACCTCTTTGTGCACCTGGCAGCCCTGGGCCCGCTTGCGGCTCCCCTGATGCACTTCGCACATCCCCCAGCCACTGCCGATGACTTACCGTGCCTGCTCTGGCATTCTCTTACAGTTTGCTCAGGAAATGAAATATTTCTCCTATAAACATCTCCATTAAGTGGGGTTAAAAACTCAACACCCAAAAAACAAAGAATCCAGTCAAGAAATGGGCAGAAGACATGAACAGACACTTCTCCAAAGAAGACATACAAATGGCCAACAGACACATGAAAAAGTGCTCAACATCACTCAGCATCAGGGAAATCCAAATCAAAACCTCAATGAGATACCACCTCACACCGGTCAGAATGGCTACAATTAACAAGACAGGAAACAACAGATGTTGGCAGGGATGCGGAGAAAGGCCTTGGGTCAACCTACACTGTTGGTGGGAATGCAAGCTGGTGCAGTCACTCTGGAAAACAGTATAGAGGTTCCTCCAAAAGTTGAAAATAGAGCTACCCTATGACCCAGCAATTGCACTACTGGGTATTTACCCCAAAGATACAAATGTAGGGATCTGAAAGGGTACGTTCACCCCAATGTTTATAGCAGCAATGTCCATAATAACCAAATTGTGGAAGGAGCCGAGATGCCCTTCAACAGACGAATGGATAATGTGGTCCATATATACAATGGAATATTACTCAGCCATCAGAAAGGATGAATACCTATCATTTACATTGACATGGATGGAACTGAAGGGGATTATGTTAAGTGAAGTAAGTCAATCAGAGAAAGACAATTATCATATGGTTTCACTCATATGTGGAGTATAAGAAATAATGCAAAAGGACCATAGGGGAAGGGAGAGAAAACTGAATGGGAAGAAATCAGAGAGGGAGACAAACCATGAGAGACCCTTGACTCCAGGAAACAAACTGAGGGTTGCTGGAGGGGAGGTGGGGGGGATGGGGTAACTGGGTGATGGACATTAAAGAGGGCACGTGATGTGATGGGCACTGGGTGTTATATGCGACTGATTAATCACTGAACACTACATCTGAAACTAATGATGTACTACTCTATGTTGGCTAATTGAATTTAAGTTAAAAAAAAGAAAAAGAAAGAGGGGTAAAAGTTTTAAAAGTTCACTCATATCAGGAGAAGCAAGAGGGAGTCCGTTTCCTGGTGTAGGTGAAGACTGACCCAAAGTGTTAAGTATGAAATAAAGTGTGTCTGGATAGAAGGCTGGAACCCTAAGGCGCCAAAACGAAGCAAACGGCTTTTCTCACGAACATCCTGCTCCGCTCACGTCCATCATTTGCGTGAGGCTCAGAGGGACAAATGTGCTCAGTGAGTTAGCTGTGTTAGGGATTTGGCTGAGGAAGCTTGAGAATGAAAAGAGGCTCACTGTTGTCCATTTGGATGGGGCTCAACACTTGTCATTAAGTGGCTGTACATTTTTAAAAGCGAGATTTCTTGCATATTTGAGGTGGTGGCTCGACAGGCAGGTGTCAAGAAGTATGGAAATGTATGGCCCCAAATCTGTTGGTTTGAGCCTGTTGAGAACCAAGGGTCCTCCAACATAAGGGGCTTCTTGTGGGGTCTGGGAATGTGGATGGGAAAAAAATCACATCCCTGTCCTCTAACCTCTAATGGAAACTTCACATGTCTTTCCTACGTGAGGGTAAGCAATAAGCCACCGTGATATTACCACACAGGTGACTTTATTGCTGGTAGCAACTGTAGGTTTTTTCATTCACATTCCAGCTGGTACAGACGTCTCTAAATATTGTTTCTGTTTGTCACGATGTCAGGATTGTGGACTTACTGTACCTGTGCTAGATCTTGCTGTTCACTGGGTAGAGAAAGAAGCACATATATTTCTGTATCATAAGTCTCCTTTCTAAATATTTTGATAACTGTATTTCAATATAACTGGTTTCTTTTATGATCCTAGCTACTTTATTTTGGACATTAAAAATGTTATTCTGAGAAGAGAGTCAGCCTCCCCAGACTGAGAGGAGTGCATGGCACAAAAAAACAGTGACTAGGGTGCACTGTGGGCTGGTGGGGGACTTCCTGTCCCTGACCCAAGGCCATGGGCATTGCTGCAGGACCTGGAAATCCACATTGACCAGCTTTGCCCGCCCCCCCCCCCCCCCCCGCCTCTGAGACTTATCAGCCTGGGTCTTTGAGCAAGAATCTGCACCCAGGGGCACTTCTGTTCCCGTGCTGTGTGTGTGTGGTGGGGGGGGGGGGGGCGGGTTATAGGAGATAGGTGGGGTGATAACCAGTACCCACAAAGCCTCGAGGGCTAGCTCCCTTCCACCGATGGCAGGGCCAGGACAACAGGGGCTTCCCTCAGCCCTGCCCTTTGACAGAGCCGAGAGGAACTGAGCAACCTCCTAGCCGTGGAGGCAGCTTCCTCCTTGTCTGTCACGTGGAGCTTGGCTCCCGTTCCTCACAGCCTTGGGTCACACAGCCCGCAGTGCCTGTTCGGAGAGGAGCCAGGAGCACAGAGCCAACATGGGCTCGGGGGCCAGCATGCTGAGAGCCTTCCTCCTCCTCCTGGGTAAGTGAGGAATGCAGAAATGGGGTGGACGGGACTCTGCTGTGGAGGGCTGCCTCAGTGAGTGGGAAGCCAGGGGAGCAGTAGCCCCCTGGGGCTCAGTCCCTTAAGCACAGATGTGTCCCTTTGGATAGATGGCTTTTTCACATTTTGAGACAGGAGACAGTGAGCAATGATTTTGTCTGTTTCATTCCAGCTGCAACTTACAAACGCTTCTGGGCCGGAGGAGAACAGGAAAGGGTCATGTGGTAGAGAGAGTTGTGGGCTCAGGACCTAGACAAATCTGGCTTTAAATTGTGGCTCCATTGCTTACAAACTGCAGCAAGCTTCCTAGACCCTCTCTCAGTTTCTGAACCCATAAAAAGGGGGATAATAATGCATCTCTTCTAGGATTGTATGAAAATTAAGTTCAATTTATTTAAGTCAAACCAAAATAATTACATAAAATGGGAAAATGTAGGTATATAGATGCTTCTCTATAGTTAGTGGTGAATCAGTCTTATTATGGAGTGGAGTAGGCTCTCAGTCACCCACAGGTATCCTGGCTTTTTAAAGTCATTTTTAAGTCTGTGCACCAAAGAAGGAAGAAGGGAGAAAGGCAGGGACTAATAGAAAAGTAGTGCCAGATATAGAGGGAGAAATGTAAGACCAGAGAAGCAGAGAGAAAAATCAGGAGAGATAAAGATCGAGGCACAGAATGATGGTTAGAATGATATGTATAGACAGAGATAAACAGAGATGAAAGAGCCATGCACTTTGCAAAATCTGCTTTGACATTAACTGTTATTTCTTAAAAAGGCAACAAATGTTCCTCACCTGCACAAAGATGCTTTTTCTCAGAACTTGCACTGGGTTAAGACTCAAAGGCAGGCAGTCTATCTCCAGATCTAATCTTCTGTCTGAGGAAGCAATAGTCTGTACCCCCGACATGGGCAATGTTATTCCCATGGGCAGGACTCTGTCCGAAGCCTGCATCCAGCCCAGGAGTGAACAAAGACCTTGGCTTTCTGGGAGTTAGCATGTCAGGCAAAGAGCCTCGGCATCTAGCAGTTTACACATGGAAATGGGCATGTATAATGAGTGGCGGTGGATGAGGGGTGGTTAGAACAAGCAAGCAAGAACGAGGTGTGTGCAGGGCAGAAAATGCAAAGCGTGCTCAGTAACGTGGCAGAAGGTGGCAGGCGTCTTAACTTGTTTCTGCTTTTGACCTAGCTAGATATACAGACCAGTCTGTCCTGGGGGGGAAAAAAAGGAAGTTAAATTTAAGAAATCCAATGAGAAAAATGTGCATATGATACGAACAGGCAGCTTGCTGAAGAATTACAAACAAATGATAAGCCTTGAAAATGCTCAAGGTCCCAAATAATAAAAGAAATAGTAACATGTAACCTTTTTGAGTGCATTCATCATGCTGCATACTCCCTTCAGCACTTTACATTAGCTCATTCCATCCCTACAACTTCATAAATAGGTCCCACCATTGTTTGCCTTTTAAGGATGAGGTTTTAATTAGTTGGTCAAGGTATCACAGCCGGTTAGCGTTTTCGGATACTACTGGGTAGAGACAGTAGTGTTTAGGAGTGTGTGCCTTGCTCTAAACAACCCGAATGTAAATCCTCTTTGGCTGTTTACCAGCCCCGGGAGTTTGGGAGATTGTCCATCCTCTCCTTGCTCAGTTTTCTCATCTGTAACTTGGGGATAATGATTGTACCAACCTCACAGGGCTGTTGAGAGAACTCCGTCTGTGACCACATTTAAAGCACGGGGCCAGTATCTGACATGAGGTGAGCACTCACTCTTGGATATTTGGAACACTGATTGACCCAATCTTCTCAGGAGGCAATCTGACAATATGTAGCGAAGTGCCCACTGTTCACAACCTTTTACCCAGAAATTCCACCTTCGGGAACTTATCCTGATGAAATAATAGGGTAACAGCTCCCCAAAATATTTAATAGGATGTTATTCAGCACTGCAGACCCCAGTAGAAACCAGAAAGAAATGATTTTCAGTCAGAATCTGGCTAAATCCAATACGCTTACATGAAAGACATAACTTTCTCGAAGGACAGAGGAGAGGTGACATGGACAGGGGAGAGGTGACAAAGTGATAGTTACAGAGTTATAGGTACGGAATTATATTTTGCATATGTTTGCTTGCCTATCCAAAAATTGACTAGAAGGAAATACAGCACATTGTTAATAGTTTTCTTTTACTTTTTCTAGGAAATAGATAATGAGGCATCTTTTGATTTCTTTGTATTGACATTTTTCATAATGATCATATATATTCTTAATACCAAATAAATAAATTTCTATGCACCAAAAAATAGCATGATAGCCTGTTGAAAGTTGTAAGAAGTAATTGAGCTTTTCTTTTATGAACTGGTGAAAGGAACCTGGGAGATTCTCTAGTGATGCCTACTATTACTGGGCAGGTAACCAGGCCAGTCACCCCGGGGCATAGGAGAGAGCTGTGCATGAGGGCTTTTGGGAACATGGGAGGAACAAGGACATCTCTCCCTACTCCTGTGACATCAAGGCTTGCATGAGCCACTATTTTCCACATACAGAGTAGTTGGAGAGTTTTGGAAAACCCAGTTTTCCAATCTTCTAAAACTATTTTTAAGAGTGAGATCAATATAACAAACATTTGTGGACCCAACACCTTGATTAATGCATTTTAAAATTTGGCTGGTTTTTTAGATACGTGTATTTGAAAGTAGATAGATAAATCAACATATCCATCAAAGAAATAGAATGTCAGAAATGGAGTTAATGCCCTCTGGGCTCCCCTCTTCTGTCTTGTTTTCCTCTCTCCTCCGGAGGAAACAGCACTCCTGCTTTGACTGCGCTTCCTTCCTGTGTTGCTTTCTAGAGGTTCAATATGTGACATGAATGTCCCCACAGCATACTCAACATGCTGCCTTAGGTCCCCATGCTGATCACATAGATCAAATGTATTTGTTTCAACTACCTATATGATTCTTTTGAAACACTACGTCATAATTCAGTTGTACCTTCCAGTATTGATCAAATTTAGGTTGTTTCTTAGTTCTTGTATGGTCGCTGATGCTGCAATGAGCCATCTTCTAGAAGCCCTGTGTGGCTGTTTTCTGGGAGACAATCGAGAAAAGGTGTTGCTGTCACGGGTATGGGCAATTCTCCCCTCATTGGATATTGCCAAATTGCTCTCCAATGGCAAGGCCTGGACCTCTCTGTCCCCCTACAGGTTTAGTGACACCCAATAGTGTGAGACTTCTCATTTTTCTGCCAATCAGAGTTGTAAAATATTATCTCCAAGTTTTTAGGTTGCACGTTTCTGATTACTAGTCAGAATAACCATTTTCCCTGTATTTATCAGACAGCCAGGTTTCTTTTTCTGTACATTTCCTGTGGTTTTCTTTGATTATTGGTCTTTTATGTATTTTTTCTGGGTATTAATTATTTGGCTCTGTCATGTGTTGAGATATCCTGTCTCAGTATATCACTTATCTTTTATCTTTGTGACATTCTTTGCTCTGCAGAAGTCTTTAAAATGAGATACAATCACATTTATTATCCTTTGACTTTTGGTGTGTCTGTTTTTTCTCCCTTGTCTAAGAAACTTTTTTTTTAAATTTAAAGTGGTCGCATTTTCCATGATTGTACCATTAATTTATTTGGAATTTATTTTTGTGTATGGCCTAAGCAAAGGATCTAATTTAGGTTTTTTCTATATGAAACATCACTTGCCTTCATATCATTTATTTCACAATCTTTCCTTTCTCCTCTCTCCTTCCTTTCTCTCCTCTTTTTTAAAGAAAAATTGCAAGAATAATAATACAAAGAACCCCCGTATGATTTGCCGATTTCTTAATCAAATCACATCATTTGCTTTATCTTATGTTATCTCTCTAGAGAGATGTGTTTATACAAAACAAATGAGGATATAAATATATATACTTCTATATATAGAAAGAGAGAGATGTCTTTTTTTCAGAGCCATTTGAGAGTAAGTTGTATATATCATGGGGTTTTTTTTAAACCCCTAAATACATTAGTGTGTATTTCTTAAGAATAGAGACAATCTCTTGCATAACCACAGCACAGTTAGCAACATCAGGAAAGTTAACATTGACGAAATACTTCACATAATCTATCAGAGTCCAATATTTTCACTGGACCCACCAATGCCTTTTGCAACCTTCGCTGTGGTCCAGCAAAGGAGCCAATGGAGGGGCAGATGTTGCATTTGGTAACTTTGTTTCTTTAACCTTCTTTACCTGGAACATCTCCTCAGTCTTTGCCTTTTATGACATTGGTATTTTAGAAGCTTCCATCTCCTTTTCTTTCAAAGAACATTCCTCATTTTGGAGTTGGCCTGATATTCTAGTGATTTCATTTATCCATTCTGTACTAGACAATGCATAACTACTCTTGGGTCCTTCTCAGGGTTTCACATTTGGAAGCAGAAGATACCTATGTGAGAAAGGCTCATGTTCTTTTGACATGATGATAAAAGACTTGAAGCTAGATTTTGGATTACGGTTGTCACAATTCTAAATAAATTATTTGCTGCTTAACTACCAACCGATCAATATTGTTAATTTTTGCTAAAATATTGCTCTAAGAATAGCTATTGAAAATATCTGGTGAAATTTCTAGGCATTTTCTTAGAGGTTTGCACCTTCCTTTTTAAAAGGCTGCCAGATAAAATATTCCTATGGACTCTTAATGCCAACCAAAATGTCAGCCATCTGTCTCCGTTTTAATTCTGTTAGAAAGCACCCACTGAAATCTATGTATTATTATAATCATGATAATAAAAGAAATACAATATCACTTTAATTATGTTTCAGTGCCTAAAACATTCTTCATTGAAAGAGCCAGAGTTATTGAAGAGAGCAGAGGCTTTCTTCCCCCCCTTAATTTATAATGAAAAGATGGCAGAGGCCGGGGTAAAGAGAATTAAATTCGTTTTTATCTTACAAGTCAAAGTCATCACTTTATTCCTTGGCTCTT